AGAGATCAGGAAAACAGACCTTACGATGACAGGCTGAGACCTATGGGGATCTTTAGCCTGGAAAAGCGCAGGCTCAGGGGTGATCTGATGGCCACCTATAATTTTATTGGGGTGACCACCAGTATCTGGGGGAACGTTTGTTCACCAGAGCGCCCCAAGGGATGACAAGGTCGAATGGTTATAAACTACTGCAAGACCATTTCAGGCTGTATTCTTTACTGCCTGAGCCCCCAAAGTGTGGAGTAGCCCTGCCATCGGAGGTGGTTCAAGCACCTACATAGAACACCTTCAAGAGCAAATTAGATGCTTATCTTGCTGGGATCCTATGACCCCAGCTGACTTCCTGCCCTTTGGGTCTCAAGGGGATGTTCAACACCAGGCCCCAGTAGGAAGGCCAGTGTGTTTGCCCAAGGGTGTGGGAGTAAGGAATGGCCTGGTGAGAGGCTAGGAGTGAGAGAGCCTGGAGTGGGGTGATTCAGCGGTCACCACCCAGATGAGTGTCAAAGTAGACCCAAAAGGCTGGGTCAGGGCTAGCTGAAGAGAGTAAGCAAAGGAATTGGCAGTCACTACCCAGATGAGGATCATGGGAGAGGCCCAATAGGCTGGGCCAGGGCTGTCTAAAGTATGAGTGGACAAGCCTGAGGATCTCTCTGGAGTAGGGCAGCAGGAGTGTGGTCTGGATAGGTACTGTGTGAGCGGCCATTTTGAGAGGGGGGCAGTAAGAGAGAGGCCAAAGTACGGTGGTATGTGAGTGGCCTTACAAGGGGCTATCTTTGACCCAGCTGCAAGCTGGAGCTGTTTATTTTTACAGCATGACATCAGTGAGGCATGGGACACGTGTAGGGATGGTAGGAGCATGTACTGATTGCCCATGGTCATCTGGGTGCACAAAGGGCAGCCTCCCACATATTTGACATCATAATCATTTATCAACAAGGTATGGCAGACAAGCAAGGTGGGCAGTTTGCCCAGAGACAAGAGTGGGGCCATAGTATTATCAGGCCTGGAATATGCCTTTGTCACAGAAGTAAATTAAAGGAGGTCTCATGTTTTAATCAATTGGGATTTGGGATAGGGGTGTAGGCGGTGCTTGTCGTGCTTCCCAGGAAGGCTGGGAGGTAGGATCAGGCAGAGAAGGCACTTTTGAGGGAGCTACTGTCCCAGCCTTGGAAAAGAAGTCCCAGCTCATAAGGACCCAATCCAGGCCCCTACTTTGCTCCCCACCATGCTTAGATCCCACTCCTGGACCTGTCTGTGCCCTGCAGCCTGGCTAGCTAGCATGTGCTCTGCAGGCTGTTTGCATGAGGTTGCAGCTCTCCTACCCCTGGGGGCAGGAGGAGGAGTTGGCTTGGTATCAGAGA